TGACCTCCCCTCTCTCAGCCCCAGTTGGTTCACTAGAGAATGTGACTACTGAGTACGCCCAGCACCTAGGACTTGGGCACTTTGTCAGAGCCTGGCACAGAAGGTGCTCAAGCATTAGGGGGCTGGTGTGGTTGTTTAAAATCATCAGTGTTATTTATAGTTGTTAAGGATACAGAGTTAGAAAGGGAAAGACAAAAATATGGGACTCTGAAATTTAAAGCGGTAGGGGATTCAAGAAATAGCAGATCAAGTACATGAAGGTAGTATTCTGTTCTGTGTGGTTTTCTGCTTCTCCATGTTAAAAAAAAAACCCTGATTTTTCAAAAATCAGATTTTGTGTAAGGTCAGAGCATTTTTTTTTTTAAATTTTTAATGTTTGTTTATTTTTGAGGAAGAGAGAGACAGAGCATGAGTGAGGGAGGGGCAGAGAGAGAGGGAGACACAGAATCCAAAGCAGGCTCCAGGCTCCAAGCTGCCAGCACAGAGCCCGACGCGGGGCTTGCACTCGTGAACCATGAGATCATGACCTGAGCCTAAGCCAGTCGCTTAATGGTGCTCCAGAGAGCTTCTCTTTAATCAAAGGAATATAGGATGGAGAAGAGCACCAGAAAAAAAGAGTGAACGATTTCCTTCTTTGTTAAACAAGTGCAAGGCATGCCAGGCGAATAGCATGCCACGGAGGAGCTGCAGGAGAAATCTGTCCTCTGGAGAAGAGCAGGACCTTTCCCGGGGAAGGAAAGGAAGGAGCAGGGCTTTGAACACACGAGCACTTGTCAGAGCTTTTATGTCCAGAAAATAAATGTAGAGAAGGTGATTTTTAAAAAAATTTTTAATGTTTATTTTATTTCCAAAAGACAGAGAGAGGAGAGAGACAGAGACAGAGTGTGAGTGGGGAGGGGCAGAGAGAGAGGGAGACACAGAATCTGAAGCAGGCTCCAGGCTCTGAGCTGTCAGCACAGAGCTGGGTGTGGGGCTCGAGCTCATGAACTGTGAGATCATGACCTGAGCCGAAGTTGGATAACCGACTGCGCCACCCAGGTGCCCCGAGAAGGTGATTCTTTAAAGAAACACATCTGTAGACGTACAGCTTAGACACCAAGGACCTCCAGGTCATGGATTAATTAAAAAAAAAAAAAAAAAAAAAGTTGAGTTCTGAAAGCAACAGATTTGGAGATTACCGACTTGAGCACCAGAGGATATAAAAGCAAGAAAGTAAGGGCTATTACCGAATTTTCACAAATTCTCAATAAAAGTCACTGGGGATGCCTTATGGGAAAGCATATGGAACTAAATGGAATTCCAGCGTCCCAGTGAAGTGGCAGGTAGATCCAGACGCCGCCCCATGAGCCAGCATTTTCTCCACTACCTTCTACCCCTTCCCGGGAAGCACTGGCTAAGGGAGGACCCTTCCTCATTTCCTTTCCTCTTGGGAAAACTTATGTTAGACTTGCTTTCCAAATCTCATGACTATGATGGATGAAGAAGAAGGAAGGCAAAGAGACAAAGTCAAGTTTAAAATTAAAAGCATAAGACTATCTTCAGTTTAGCTTAGGTGGTTTACAAAAGCAAAGACAAAGAGCCCTTGGCCTTCCAAAGTCACAAGATAAAATATAGAAAGAATATTGCAGGCTGGGGGCAGTCTTGAAGCACGAAATCTTAATCTACGATAGAAGCACATGCTTTAAAATCAAATCATTTCCAGGATGAGACTGCAGAGAGAGAAATGTTCAATCGGACAGCCACTTTAAAAAGGGACAGACCCTTTTCAGAAGGGTCAACCAGGGCACCAGTCTGGCTCAGCCTATAGAACATGCAACTCTTGATCTTGGGGTCATGAGTACAAGCCCCACACCAGGTGCGGAGATTACTTAAAAAAATAGTATCTTAGGGGCGCCTGTGTGGCTCAGTCGGTTAAGTGTCCGACTTTGGCTCAGGTCATGATCTGGTAGCTCATGGGTTTGAGCCCCGTGTTGAGCTCTGTGCTGACAGCTCAGAGCCTGGAGCCTGCTTCAGATTCTCTCTCTCTGCTCCTCCCCCACTCATGCTCTGTCTCTCTCTCTCTCTCAAAAGTAAATAAACATTAAAAAAATTTTAATAACATTTTTAAAAAAAATCTAAAAAAAGAGTCTATCAAGTATCCAGATGTCTTAATGTGGGGTCTGTATTATCATCCCAGCAAACCTTGGTGGTCTGATCATTCCCACCTTAACAGGAGAGGGGTGGGGGGGACTTGCCCACCAGTCCTGCTCGGAGGGTTGAGTGGATACTGATATGAACGTGGGGCTACCTGACTCTAAAGCCCACACTGGGGGCACCTGGGGGTTTCAGTCAGTTAAGTCGTCTGACTCTTGATTTGGGCTCAGGTCATGATCTCGTGGTTCATGGGTTCCTGACCCACACTGGGCTCTGCGCTGATAGTGTGGAGCCTGCTTGGGGAGTCTCTCTCTCCCTCTCTCTCTCTGGCCCTCCCCACTCACACTGTCTCTGTCTCTCTAAAAATAAATACACAAAAACTTTAAAAAACTTAAAAAAAAATAAATCCCACCCTATTGACTACGTCACATCTCATTCCTTAGAGATACCCAAGATGTCCTGTTGATGCCCTAGTTATCAGTCGTGGGGCACCTGACAGCCCGTTCAGCACAGCAATGCCAGGCCATGTGCTGCAAAGAAGACTCCAAAGATGACATGTCGTACACCCTGGGGAAAGCCTGGATGGGTCACACGTTCTGGAGTAGCAGTAACCGGCATAGAAAATAATTCTTAACATGGGGGAAGAGTTTGCCCGTGTTCACTCGTGAGTTTCTTTATCATGCTTAGAAAAACAAATCTGCACAAAAGAGCATGATTTGGATTCACTCTCCAAAATTAACAAAAAGTTAGTGAATGAAGTAGTTCTGGAACAGAGGAGGGCAGGTAGAAGGGAAAGCTTCAGCCCCCAGTGAGGGAGAGAAGGCGGGGAGCATGAGTCACCCTGCAGCATTTATCTGTCAGCCCAAGGAGAAAAGAACGGGCCTGGCCTGATGGGCACCATAAAAGGCGAGGCAGAAGGAGGAAGAGATGCATGAAAGATACCCTTTTATGAGGCACAAACATCCCGCGAGAACTGTCTGAGAAATTATCCTGGCCTTGGACCACCAAGACCTTGTAATAGAAAAGGCCTCTGTGGTTGTGAATGTAGCTATGGAAATGTACAAAGGGCAAAGCCTCGCAAATTTCTAAAGTAGACCCGTTTGGGCAAAATATTCATAATCCAATGAGGAAACAAAGCAGTGATCAAATGAAAACCACGCAGTTTAAATGTGCAAGTTCCAGTGATTATGTCACTGTGAAGAACCGGGACGTAAAGAAGTGGCAAAGTTTCAAACCACTCAGCTGAACACAAAGTAACTTTGTAGGACAGCTGGGAACACGGACTCTAATTCTTGTTGGGCTTTCAGCACAGATGTGTACAAGGCGCGCCATCTGCCGGCAAGATTTGGTACTACTGATTTGGAAAGAATTTTGACAGGAGGTACTGGATTCTGGCGGAGAACTTACCCTCTTTTGTAGCAACACCGATCAACATTAAGTTCTAGTAACATTAAATATCATATCTTGGACCTCTGATTTGCTTATTTCATGTCTTACAATGCAAGATAGAATATCTACTTCTAGACAGGAAGAAATTCTGGACTGGCAGGCACTCCCAGTCATTACTCCCTTCCTCTTCTCATTACATAAATGGATTCCTTTGGGTCTGGTTTCTTTCATTAAGCATTATGCTTGTGAAAGCCAACCATGATAGGCAAAGGAGTAATTGGGCCATTTTCTTTGTATGAACAGAGCACAATTTTATCTATTGTACTTTTAAAACATTTTTGTTTTAATGTTTATTTATTTTTGAGAAAGAGAGAGGAGGAGAGACAGAGCATGAGAGGGGAGTGGGAGGGAGAGAGGGAGACACAGAATCTAAAGCAGGCTCCAGGCGCCAAGCTGTCAGCACAGAGCCTGGTGCAGGGCTTGAGCTCACAAACTGCGAGATCATGACCTGAGCCAAAGTCGGATGCTTAACCGATTGAGCCACCGAGGCGCCCCTATGTATTGTACTTTTGATGAACAGTTGGGTTGTTTCCAATTCTTGGCTATTACAAATCATGTAGTTTTGGACATTCTTGGCCATTTCTTTTGATGAGCATATACATGCATTTCTGTTATATTCTGGAGTGATACTGCTGGGTTATTGAGTGGGCAAACATTCCAATTTAGAAGAGGAAGCCAAACAGTTTTCTAAAGTACTCACACCAAATACATTCTAAACTCCAACATATGAGAAAGCATAGAAGAGCAGGACATCCTTACCAACACGACATTATCGGTCCTTAAAGAAAAAAATTAGTCATTCTAGTAAAGATGTAGTTGCATCTTATGATTTTAATTTTCATTTCCCTGATGAATGATGAGATGGAACATTTAGAAGGTTTATAAGCCATGCGGGCATCTGTGTGTGTGTGTGTGTGTGTGTGAGGTCTCTTGCCTGCTTTTCTAGTCCGTTGTCTGTCTTTGTTTTATTGATATACAGGAGTTTTTTTTTTTTACAGATTCCTAGATATGAGCCCTTTGCCAGTTATGTATATTACAAATATCTTCTTCCTCTCTGTGCATGAAATATATGGTGATTTAAATACAGAGGAGGGGGTCCAGGAGAGAAGGCAAGAAATAGAAAGTCAAGGGAGTGGCATCAGAACTCAAGGACCCAGGGGGGGATGTATAATTGTATCCCCCATAAATGCATCATGTGTGTGTGTGTGTGTGTGTGTGTGTAATTGCATCACTGATGTTTGTCCCTTGGTTGTGGCCACTCTGATATGACCATGGACCTCTTTTGCTTCTGGACCACGGCCACAGAGAAGCCATGGACACAGCATCATGGGAGAAACTCCTTCCGCCTGAAAGCCCACAGGTTCTCTGCCAGAATCTCCAGCATCATGTATTCAAAACACCCTAAAATGGCAACTTACTGTGCAAATGACAATTTGATCCGTGCTTGAATTTCTATCCATTCCTCCTTTATGATCCTTCCACACTGCAGCAGCTCCTTTGCAAGTCTCTCTGCCTTTGTCAAATTCTCTGAAGCTTCGTTAAACCTGCGTTGTGTTCAGGAAATGTCACAAATGGTTCTAGATTCCGGAACCCCAGTTCTTGGGAGATCCTTGGCTCTTAAACTTCCATCACCCTTCCCAAGTCACCTGTCAGCTTTTGATTTGGCCTCGAAAAATTAAATGTAGGCATTATGAATGGCATTTCTAGGTGTAAAGATTAGAATCAAAAGGATACTTCTGAAGGGAGAGTAAGGCTCTCCCCAAGGTATGGAACAGCTCAATCGAACACCTGAAAACATCTGTATTGTCATTATAGGGAGGCGCGATGGAGCTGGTGAGGATTTCTTTGGCTTTTTCTGCGTGCTGTTTTGCTTGCAGGGACAGTCCTGTGGACGAAGGAAAAGAGGTCTCAGTTTCTCTTTCATGTCAGCAGGGCATGTGACCATAATGATCCATAGCCAGGAAGCCAAATGAGGTCTCCTCCACTGACTGTCAAGTGACACAGAGAGATGTATCAGGGCACACAAAATATCATCCTGACCGTAAAGACCAAAGCAGAGCTTTTCACCTAGTGCTCAAGATAAAATTTCCCCCAAATGGTCTTTCTAGAAGTAAACAGCATGAGCGGGAACTGAACAACTTTGAAACCTCACCAACATCAGATGTAGAATATGTTCTAAATAATCATAAGAAAACAAATGGAACGCAAGGACTATAGCATTCTGGGCAGGAAATAAGATATTCATGAATTTGCATTCTGGCTGTGTGACAGCAATCTTAATGAAATACTAAAAATTCTGAATCTTCTGCTTATCCATCTATAATCATAACTTTAGAAGGTTGTTTTTAACATAATACAAATACAATGATATCTAAAAACACTTTACAAATACAATTCCAGTGACAGAATGGACTAATGTGCTACAATCTTATTCCTACACAATTACTGACTAATGGCAACATGGGGCAACATCAAGGAAAATCACAACTACCAAGAACTAACTCCTCAGTGCATTCCAGTGTTCTCCCATGGGCTTATCAATATGCGGTAAGGGTGGCAAGGGGGGTCACCAGTTAGGTTTCAGGCCTTTTCACTTCCCCACACTCCCACCCCTCCTCCCCGACACTGATGCCCTCCCTTCTACCCACATCTATACACCCGTGGTCTTATTTTTTTTTATCATATGAAAGTATATCTCAAAATCTCCAAGAAGCTGCCAAAATACAAAATTAATGCTGTTCCGATGTCTATAAAACGGAAGAGTATATTTTCTGATGGAGAAATTCCAAGGTACGTCCTTCATGTGGGAACTCTTATAGATTTTGTCTAATTTTTTTAAAGTACATGTTTAATCAACCTACCAGTAATTTTTTTGGTGGCAATTATACATGCGATCTTATAAAAGTGAATGGTGCATTGTCTTTTTTAAAAAAAGTTTATTTATTTTGAGAGAGAGAAAGGGTACATGAGCAGGAGAAAGGCAGAGAGAGAGGGAGAGAGAGAATCCTACGCATGCTCCATGCTCAACACAGAGCCCTGTGAGGGGCTGGATCTCCTGACCTTGAGATCACCACCTGAGCCCAAATCAAGAGTCAGACACTTCACTGACTGAGCCACACAGGCACCCTGCTTTCACTTTAAGTTGAGAAAGGAAGACTATCATGCAAAAAGGCAGCAGCCTATGGAAGAAAAGCCTCATTTGAAATCCCAGGTGCCCGGCCACTGGTGCTGTTATCCCGAACCCTACTAACATTGTAAGTTGGGGCAAGCTGTTTCAACTCACTTATTTCCTCTGGATCTAAAGTTATAGGAGGGAGTGGTGGGGTTTGAACTAGATGATCTCCAGGGTGCCCTCTGGCTCTAACAATCTTTGATCTGACAAGTGGGACCAGCTAATAATCAGATTTGGCCAAATTCATTGGGTGGCAATTCTGTGCTTAGCACCGTGGTGTTTTCTACTTGTTGTTGTTTTATTTATTCCCTGGATCAATCCTGAGAAGTTAGCACCACCATCATTATCATCACTTTGAAGAAAGGCAGTACAGAGATGTCAGAGATGTGCTCTTGTACACCTAGTCCTGGGTCGCCCAGTGAGAAAGGAGAAGACATGATATCCTATTTTTTTTTTTTTTTTTTTTTACCTTCTCTGCATCCATTCCCCCTTCCTTTATTTTCTTTTGGGACCTGCACACCCAATCCATGTGATTTAGCCAAGGTCAGCCTGTCCCCGAGGATCTAGTGGAACCAAAAGGTAGATCTAGCACCTGACTATTCCTTGCCTTTGACACACCACCCAAGTCAGCCCCATTAGAATTCCCAACTCCTGAGATTTTGGTGACAAGACATTCTTTTTTTTTTTCCTGGGAATGCTGATGAAGGAATAAATAAAGGAATAAATAAAGCTTCTTCAAGTCTTGCTGCTGCTATGTGGGCAAAGTCTGGGTAAGAATGAAGCCCGTGCAGAGAAAAACAGAGCCAAGTGGTAGGTTAAGAGAAAAACACAGATCTGATGACATTGTTTGAATGTCTGGCTCAACCTGTGTAGACACCTTGTTGTCTACAGCAAGTTTTACCCTTGTGTTTTCAAGTTGTATGAACCAATACATGAACATTTGTTTACTGCTGGCTTTATTTCATCTCTTATTTATGGGGTTCTTTTTTTGGACGGGGGGGACGGGTGTTGCTTAGGCAAGGGATTCTCCATCAAAACAAATGTGAATGGATCCCACTGTAGGCCCCAGCCCCATGCCTTGGGCCCCTTCTACAATACCTTCAAAGCTAACAATTCTCTCCCAAGAACACTACTTCACTAAAAAGGGCCCTCCAAAGCCCTCCAACGGGCTAAAACCTTCCCTCTCTTTTTTATATATTATACAAAAAATATTACTGACTCTTTCTGAAAGAAGACGGCTCCTCAATAAGTGGAGAGGAGAATATTCAAGAAAACCGAATCCTTCCAGTTAAGTGTGAGTCACATTTGCATTAAAGAGCAGAAACCTGATCCCTTCTCCCTCCCCCGAACCCCCCCACACCCCCCTCCCATTGGAGATAAACTCACCTTTCAGCTGGAGGTAGCCTTGAGCCAGATTAACATGTGCCTCTGCCAGTTTCCAGTGTGAGTCGCCATAGCAAATTCTCGTCAGCGCCATGCAGCGTACAAGCTCGCGGATAGCCTGTTCGTACTGTGATGGACAGAAAATGGGCTTACGAGCTAGACGACTTGAAAACACAGAGCCACAGAGCACAAAGTCAACTGGCATCTTTATCTATTCAGTGCATATTTCCTGAGTGCCTACTAGGTGCTAGACATGGCTCTAGGCACCTGGGATACACCGGGGAATAAAATAGACCAAGGTCTGCTTTCGGCTGTTCATCTGGCAGGGTGAAATACACAATAGATGACAGAAACGAATAAAATTCATAGTATACATAAGTGGATAAAACATTTAAACGTTTAGTCCCTTATGAGAAAGACAACAAATAAAGAAGAAATAGAAAAAGTAGAGCAGATATCTAACCATTCGCTAGGCTTTCAGCTGCCCATCTAGGAAAAGCTACTACACATTCAGGCACCAGGGGGCAAGTGGCACCAGTTTTCAAATAAGGGTCTCTGGTTCTCAATCACATACCTTTCATAGCAGCCTAGGGTATTCGCATAGCAGATGAGGTTGGCAGGACTGACCAACAGATCTCATTAAAGCAAGATGTCCGTTTCCGTTCAGAGAACAGGGAGCTGATATTTCCAGCTCCAGGTCAGCTCAGAGCAGCAATACACTGAAAGCAAGGCTGGTAGTTTTAAAATAGAGTTCCAAAATCCTTGGACTCTTCATCCAGAGGTAGGGGGTCTCTGTTTCCTTCCCTTTGAATCTGGGCTTTATAACTGGCTGATAGAGTATGGACGGGATGATGCGGTGCCAGTTTCGGGGCCCAGGTCTTAAGGAACTGGCTGCTTCCATTTTCTGTTTCTTCTTAGAAAGAGAATGCAATTATAGGCTGAATTGTTTCCCTCCACCCTCTCAAAACTCGAATGTTGGAGGCCCAAGTACTTTAAAATGTGACAATATACGGAGAGAAGGTCTTTAAAGAGGTACATGATGAAGCTATTGGGGTAGATCCCGAATCTAATACAACTGATGTTCTTATAAGGAGAGGAAGAGACACCAGGGATGGGCAGGCAGAAAGAAAAAACTTGTGAGGACATGGGGAGAGGGCAGCATCTTCAAGCTAAGCCCCTAGATGACATCAACGCTGCCAACATTTTGATCTTGGATTCATAGCCTCCAGAACTTGGAGAAAATAAACTTCTGAGTTTAAGCCACCTCGTCTGGGGCATTGTTACAGCAGCCCCACCAAACTGCTAACCTAGTCACCATGCCATGAGGAAGCTTAAAGTGGTCCCACGCAGAGGCCCTTGTAGAAAGGCGCCAAGAACTGACACCAATGAGTCACCCAGACGAGGGGCCATCTTGGCAGTGGATTGTCTCTTGGAGGTAGAGTCCAGCCAATGCTGGGAGTTTAGGACGTGGCTTCTTTAGAGGGACAGGTGAATACAGTGAAGGGAAAAGGAAAAAATGATGAAAACACTCGGGAGTCTAGACAGACAGTCTACCGAAAAGAGAGATGTGATCTAATATTGAATCTATCCTAACCACAGATTTCTAAGAAGAGGGTTATGTAGACCGAAAGTCAGGTTCCCCTCCCACCCCCACCCTGATTTGTAGCCTTGGGCTTCACTACCTGCAGCTGGGGCAGAAGAGCGTACTGCTCTTGCTCCACCTTCTTACTTGCTAGAATGCAGTTCAAATATCCATTTGGCTTTCTGATCTTTATTCTGCCAGTTCCTGTGGTTTCATCCAACAGGCATGGGGAGGAGGTAGACAGAAGAGAAGTACAAGTAGGCAGACAATTTTATAACTGGGATATGCCTTGGAAATAATCTAATTCGCTCCCTTTAATTTAAAGAAGAAATGTAAATCCAGAGAGATGAGAGGATTTATCACCAAGTAGTAGAGTCGACACTTATAATCAAGATCCCTGAAGCCAAGTCCAGACTCTTTCCACAAGCCATTCTTGGGCTACCTGGAATTTCTTTAACTTCTTAACATTAAAATATGCAGCTCTGATGATCAGTAGGTCTGGCCATATATATATATTTTAAATGAGTGCGTTTTTTTTTAAATGTTCATTTATTTGTGTGTGTGTGTGAGAGAGAGAGCATGGGCTGGGGAGGGGTAGAGAGAGAGGGAGACACAGAATCCAAAAACAGGCTCCAGGGTCTGAGATGTCAGCACAGGGCTCGATGCGGGGCTTTAACTCACAGACTGCAAGATCATTACCTGAGCTGAAGTTGGACACTTAACCAACTGGTTACCCAGGCACCCCTAAAAATGAGTCTTCAATATCCAAATCTTGGTGTCTAACCACTACTCTTAGCTAAGAATCTACAGCTTGAGCAGGGAAAGTACGAGTGGAATCTGAAAAATCTTGCTGTGCCTGAAATTAGGAAAGACCACTGGGGATGTATCAAGTGCAAGGAAGCCAGCCATTGACAAACGTCACAGTAATAACTGATTCAGGCAAGAATCATTAATGGACGTTAAAACTATGGGGTGACACTTTAATGAGGCATAGGACACACACACAGTTTTGCTGAATCTTCCCACAAGATGCTTATTCATTACAAAGGGAAGAATAGTAATTCCATAGAGACGAAGCCTGCCAGACAACACCTTGGCCAAGCGATCAAAGTTAGCATCATGGTAAGGAGACAAGAAGACATCATATGCCTCCTGCTCTGAGGCACTAGGAAAGACCCCGAGATCATGTCTGTGGGATTCTGGCCCCAAATGGACAACCTGCATCTAATTATGAGGAAGCACATGAAAAAAGCAAGTTGAGAGATACTGTACAAAATAATTAGAGCATACTTGTGACGGACTGAATGTTTGTATCCCTCCCTAATTCGTATGTTGACCCCCAATGTGGCATTTGGAGACAGGGCCTCTGAGGTAGTAATTGAAGTTAAATGAGGTTGTTAAAGGTGGAGCCTGGATCCATCAGGATTATTGTCCTTACAAGAAAAGCCACCTTTCAGTCCCCCTTCTTTACCACTACCCACACCCACAAAGAGGCCATGTGGGGACACCGCAAGAAGGCAGCCATCTAAAACCCAAGGGGAGAGCTCTCACCAGACATAGACCCTGCTGGCACCTTGATCTTAAACTTCCTCCAGTTACCCAGTCTGTGATGTTGTATTATGGCAGCTAGAGCAGACTAATGCAGTACTTTTATCAAAAATATCAAGATCAGGAAAGACAAAGACAGGCCAAGGAACTAGTCTAGTAGATTAAAGAAGGCTGAAGAGGTTTTATAACTATATTCTATGCGATTTTATTGAGCAGAGCATGGAACTGTCTGATTTTTTTTTTTTTCTTTTTGCCAAAGATGTTATGGAGATAATTAAAGAAGTACGGATAAGGCTAGCACACTAGCTAATAATATTATACCAATAATAATTTCTTAATTTTAATCATGGTACTGTGGGTATGTAGGGGTATCTTCTAAGACTTTTAGGGGTATATCTGTAATATCTATAATTTACCCTCAGATAATTAAGAAAAATAATGACACACATGCAGAGAAATAAAGCAAATGAGTCTTGTAACCTTTCTTAAGTCTGAAAGCATTTTAAAATAAAAAATCACCCCCCCAAAAAGGTTATTTTAAAAAGCAAATTGCATGGGGTGCCTGGGTGGTTCAGTTGGTTAAGCATCCGACTTCGGCTCAGGTCATCATCTCACGGTTTGTGGGTTTGAGCCCTGCGTCGGGCTCTGTGCTGACAGCCGGCTCAGAGCCTGGAGTCTGTTTCAGATTCTGTGTCTCCCTCTCTCTCTGACCCTCCCCTGTTCATGCTGTCTCTCTCTCTCTCTCTCTCTCTTTCAGAAATAAATAAAAACATAAAAAAAAAAAGCAAATTACAGCATGTTAATCCATTCCAGAAGACACGTTTAAGGCCTCCTAGGGCACTTAGCTGGAGACTGGCGAGGTCCTATGTAGACTGCCTGCCTTTCCACCAGCCTTTTATGTCAGTCTGCAGGTTCCTTTTTCACTTCAAACAGGCCACACTTGTGCCCACGTCATAGATTTTACACGTGCTGTTCCCTCTCCTCAGAACTCTTTTCCCTTATCTCTTCCATGCTGGCTCCTTCACTTTTTAGGGTCTCAGCTCGTCTATCATCTCTTCCTAGACAGGCCCACTCTTTCCTTAACAGCACTTGACACAGTCTCTTGCTGGCTAGTGTATCTGTGATGTGGCTCGCCCCTCAGCCCCACGAGGGCTTGCAGCCTGCCTATGTGTTCAACCATGGTGTCCAGGGGCGCCTCATCCAAGCTGCAGAGCACAGAAAAGTATTTAGCACCAGCCTAGACCCATAGAAGAGAAGCTAATTCTTTTTTTTTCTTTCATGGTTTATTGTCAAGTTGGATTCCATTTAACACCCAGTGCTCATCCCCACAAGTGCCCTCCTCCATGCCCATCACCTCCCTTCCCCTCCCCCCCATACCCATCAGTCCTCAGTTTGTTCTCAGCTTTCAAGAGTCTCTCATGGTTTGCCTCCCTCCCTCTCCCCAACTATTTTTCCCCTTCTTCTCCCCTATGGGTCCTCCGGTCCTCCATTAAGTTTAAGAGAAGCTAATTCTTCACACATGTTAAATGCCTTAGGGCATTAAGGCTTAATTCTCTTGCAGGACTCTGGTTGAGAAAGGCTGCCAGCTTGATGCCTACCTAGTACACAGCCTGGCACAGAGCGGGTACTGATCTGTTGCATAATGAATAAGCACACATTCAAGACCAAATTCATGCCTCCTGTCCATAATCCTGTTCCTCCTTCTGTATCATTACACTGGCGAAGGGTCTGGCAAGTCTCCAGTCACCCAAGCGGGCTGAGACCTAAGTCATGAATTGTATACAGTCACTCTGATTTGCTCTTGCCGCTACAACCTTCATGTCTCTTCGGTCACCAGGTCCCCCTGATTCACATTTCCAAATTCCTGCCAAAGCTCTTAGCATCTCTACTGCCCCTGCTATAGTTCAGGGTCATCTGATTCCTTGCTAGGATTATTGCAAATATCTTCTGAACGGGGCCTCCTTCTCCAATTTTGCTCCCTTCTCACTCATCTTCTACTCAGCTATGAGTAATCATTCCTGCTCATGACACTCCTACTTATCATCCTAGAAGAGTTTCTAGTACCTTCAGGAGGAAATCTAAACTCCTTCCCTGGGCATCGAACACCCTCTGAGCCCCAGCTCCTTCCATAATCCAACCTCACTTCCTGCACTGTGTCACTAAGCCTGCATTCCATGGAAGCAACTTAAGTGTCCATGGATCAGTGAATGAATAAAGAAAATATGATACATCTATACAATGGAATATTATTCAACTGTATAAAGTAAGGGAATACTGCCATTTGTGCCAACATGGATAGACTTGAAGCATTATGCTAAGGAAATAAATCAGACAGAAAAACAAACACTGGATGATCTTACTTATATGTGGAATCTTAAAAAGCAACAACAAAACGCCTCATAGATGTAGAGAACAGATTGGTGGTTGCCAAGAGGTGGGGGTTGGGGGGTAAAAAGAGTGAAGGTGGTCAAAAAGTACAATTTTAGTTACTAAATAAATAAGTCCTGGGGATGTAATATACAGCATCGGGACTATAGTTAATAATACTATACTATATAGAATAATACTATTCTATATCTGCTACCCCTGCCCAGAACAGTATCGTCTTCTCCCTTACCTGGCCAACTCCGAAGCACTGTAATCAGTTCAGTCCAAGTCACTCCCATCCCAAGAAGCGTGCCTTGATTGCTCTCCTTTCACCACCTCCGTGCCCATTGCCTCCCCCCTCCCCTACGTTTTGCATCTATTTCACCCAAACTTGTGTCCATCACAGAACTTATCACACTGACTACCCTTGTCTGTCCCCCTGCCTATCATCCCAACCAAACTATGAGTCCCTCTGAGGCAGAGGCTATAGCTTTCCCATCGTGCCCCCGGCACATCTGCACAGCATCTGGCACATATTAGGTACACAATAGATATCTGCGAAATAAATGGATGGACAAACAGGGCCCAACACCTAAGTGATGGCAGAGAAATGCATATGGAATAAGTAAGTGAGTGAGTAAAACTTTCAGAAAACAAGATCAGGCTTCGTCGGCTTTGTTATATTCCAGTGCCTAGACCTGGCACTAGAGGGAGCTCAATAAATGTTTATTCACTGATGGAAAAAGACGGCAGTAGATCAAACCTACCACCCAGTGGTCTAGTATACACTCGCCAGAGGTCAGGATAGACTTGTTTGTTCATTTGTGCATTCATTCAGCAAATATAATGTTGACTGTACCAAGTGCTATGCTTGGAGCCCTGAGGGGTTACACCTACTCATTCTCTATATACTCTCTTGCACCAAAGAGGGTAGAAATATAACCTAGACTCATTCATTATTAGAGCACAGGCATAGAAAACGAAGGATCCTTACTTCGTGACTGCTAGAGTAAGACTTGGCTTTCTCTTCGCAGAGGTGCAGTTTCTCTCGAGGAGGCTGGAATAGTGCTGTCTGAGGCAGTTTGTTTTGAATCTTCTTTCTAGGCGTAATACTGACAGCAGCAACAATTTCATCTAGGTGATTGGATATATGGGTTTCCTTTGATTCTTGCATATTTTTATATACATTGTCCTCTGATTTTTAAAAAAGAAAATAGAGGTGTTAAATGATACTTTTCATAGTTATTTTTATAAATATAATACATTTTCCCTAGAAATAGATGCTAGGTCTAGGAAAATTGCAACACTTTACCCATGACTTCTCTGAAATTAGTGGCACTGCATCCAAAAAGATCCTGATAGCTATTACTATCTTCTTTTAAAACTTTCAGGCTGATTTCCACTTTAAACTAAACCAAACATTCTTTGTTCATTAATATATATATACATTATTAATATATATTTTTATATTTTTATGTAAGTACAGACACTAGAAATCAGCCAAGCCCAAACAACTCTCAAAGAACCCAAATTAGATCACCTGAACACCAACTGACTTTGAAGCAGGAAAAAAATTATTTATTAAACTTTCACTTCGGGCCAAGATGGAGTACTAGGGATCAAATTTATTCTCTTGCTGAAATAGCCAGGCAAGCAACCAACAAACACACAGAAACAAAAAACAAACCAAAAAACCCACACAGACTAAAACAAACAAACAAACAAACAAAACTACAGAACAATGGTTTCCAAGAGACAGGATATAAGTGGGTCAATGGAAAAAAGAAAGAAAGAGAGACCCATGATTGCCCTGCCTTATTGCTTTGAGAAAGTTTCCAGGACATGCAGGGAGGGGAGCCCAGGAGTAACCTGGTGGACTCTGAGTTGAGGAAATAGAGCTGAGATTCTGGGGAGAACAAGGCAGCTAGAGTTCAAAGGAAAGATTACTGGAGAGGATAGAGAAGCACAGAGAGAGGATCCTAGAGATGAGCAGAGAGAGCTTTACAAATATGGGGAGAGAATACTGATCAGCATGTGTATAAGAATAATACTTGAGTCTGGAGGAAGAACCCTCTAGAAATATTGAAAGGAGCAGTGTCTGGCATTCACACGGGGCTGGCAGTGCCTGTTCCCACCAACTAGCCTGGAAAACTCCTAATTCGTGCTGCATTGGGTAAAGTACTCAGAAGAGTTTTGTTTCAGTGGCGTGAGATTATTACCCCTAGGCTGAGCACTGCTTAGACCCACCTAACAAAGCATAAAAATAAGACCTAAAAGAATCCATCTGTTTCCAAGTAACTTAACCGAACCAGAAGACAAAACTCAAGGATGTATGGGAGTATGAACAGGGAGCATGCAACAAGGTAAAATTCACAAAGTCTGACTACTAGGCATGCAAAGGGGTGAGAAAACATGGGCTATAATGAGAAGAATAATCAGTCAAAACCCAAGACTGACACAAATATTAAGTTAATAGAGAAGATCAGTTTTTTTAAAGGTTTATTTACTTTTGATAGAGACAGGGAGAGTGTGAGCGGGGGAGGGGCAGAGAGAGAGGGAGACACAATCTGAAGCAGGCTCTGAGATGTCAGCACAGAGCCTGCTGCACGGCTTGAACCCGCAAACCATAAGATAAAGCCCTGAGCTGAAGTCGGACGCTCAACCGACTGAGCCACCCACGTGCCCTGAGAAGAACAGTATTTATAATTGTATTCCATATGTTTAAGCAATTAAATAGAGACACAGAAGATATATATAAAAAAAAAACAAATTGAACTTCTAGATATAAAAATTAAAATTGAAATGAAAAATACAGTAAATGGGATTAATGATAGATTAGATATTAGAGATGAAAAGATGACTGAACTCATAGACATAGGAATAGAAACTATCTAAAAATGACTCCCTATAGGAAAACAGATTGTAGCAGGGACAGAAAAAATATTTGAAGAAATCACAGCCCTAAATTTTCCAAATTTGTGAAAAAGTAAAAAGCTAGAGATCTAAGAAGCTTAATAAACACTAAACACAAGAAACAGAGAAAACTACAAATCAAATGCATCAAATCAAGGTAAAGTGAAAAAACTTAGATGTAGGAAAAAACCATATTAGTATGAAAAAATAAAGATACAAATGACAGCAGATTTCTTGGAAGAAAAAAGGCACAGGAGAAGAAAGTGAAACAACATACTTAAAGTATGTAAAGAAGAAAGTTGTCATGGTAAAATTCTGCACCAGTGAAAATACCTTTCAAAACAAAAAAACTGAAAGAATTAATCATCAGCAGGTTTGCACTCCAATGTTCTCCAAGAATTACTAAAGGGAGTCTTTCAGAAGGAAGGAGAATGATAGCAAATGGAAATCTAGATCTACACAAAGGAATGAAGAGAAATGGAAATAATACTTTCATGGGCAAATATGTAAGACTATTTTCATATTATTTAAATCTCTTTAAAGGATAATCAACTTTTTAAACAAAAAATGTTGAATCTTGCCTCCAAGAAATTCACTTCAAATAGAGAAAGACAATTAGATTGAAGGTAAAATGATGAAAAATAGTATCCTAAAATTAGTCAAACTTGGATTTTCAAAATTAATATCAAAGTAAATTGTACACCAAAGAATATTATCATAAAGAAGGTTATTTCATAATTATAGAAGGTCAATTAGTCAAGAGGATATAATCACTCCAAGTGTTTATACACTTACTAACAGTTCCAAATATGGGACCCCAAATTGATGGAAATGCAAGGAGAAATAGACAAATTTTCAATTACTGTCCGGGATTTAAATACCTTGCTCTTAATAGTTGACACATCAAGTAGGCAGAAAATCAGTTAAGGATACATAAGACTTGAACTACATCATCAACCAACTTGGTCTGACATTTATTAGAACTCTCTACTTAAGAGCAGATCACACATTCTTTTCAAGTGCACACGGACATTAACTAAGACAGATTCTTTTCTGGGTCATAAAACAAGTTTCAATAAATTTATGAGGATTCAAGGCATACACAATATATTCTATGACTACAATAGGATTAAATTTAAATTTTAAAAATTTTAAATCAACAATACAAAAACATCTGGAAAATGTTCGAATATTTGGAAACTAAATAACACACTTCTAAAAAAAACCCAACCATGGTACAAAGAAGAAATCAAAAAAGAAATCTGAAAGTAGCTTTAACTGAATGAATATAAACACAACATATAAGAATTTGAGAATGCCACTAAAGCAGTCCTTATGGAGAAATTTATAATATTAAATGCCTATAAAAGAAAAGTAGAAAGTTCTCAAGTTCATAACCTTAGCTTTCACCTTCAGCAGCTAGAAAAAAAAGAACAAATTAAACTCAAGGTAAACAGAAGAAAAGAATTAATAAAATAAATAATAAAGCTAATCTCACACATCAATGAAATAAATATAGGAAAACAATAGAGAAAACAATGAAAACAAAATTTGGTTCTTTGAGACAATTCACATTGATAAATCTCTATCCTGATTAATTGTGAAAAAAGAAGAGAAGACACAAATCATAAATATCAGGAATGAGAGAGATGACATCACTACAGATTCTACAAATATTATCTTTTTTAAAAATGTTGATTTATTTTTGAGAGAGAGAGAGAAACAGACACAGCACGAGTGGGAGAGGGGCAGAGATGGAGGGAGACGCAGAATCCGAAGCAGGTTCCAGGCTCTGAGTTGTCAGCACAGAGCCTGGCCTGGGGCTCAAATTCACAAACTGTGAGATCAAGACTTGAGGTGACATCAGACACTTAACCAACTGAACCACCCAGAGGCCCCAACAAATATTACAAGTTTAATATGGGAATGTTATGAACTTATGCCAATACATTTGACAACTTAGATGAATGGACAAATTCCTCTAAAGACACAAAATACTAAAGTTCAATCAGGAAGAAATAGTTTGAATAGCCCTACATCTATTAACTAAACTAAATTTGTTTTTTAAAAACCTTCCAAAAAAAACCACACACACAAAAAACCCCAAACAACTGCCGGCCTGGATGGCTTCACTAGTGAATAATATAAACATTTAAGGAAGATATAATAGCATTTGCATACAACTTCTTCAAGAAAATGGAAAAAGAGAATATTTCCTAACTCATTCTAGGAGACCCTGATACCAAAACAAGACAAATACAAGAAAAGAAAACTGCAGCTCAGTATCCATCCCTCAGGAATATAGATGCAAAAATTCAAAACTAAATTTTAGCAAATTAAACCTAGTAATATGTAAAAGAGAAAATACATCATGACCAAGTAGAGTGTATCTCAGGAATGCAAAATTAGTTTACACTCACAAAGCAGTCGATGTAATTCATTCATAATATAATAATTATCATCTTGATCAACACCCAAAAAGAACCTGACAAAGATCTACTATCTAATTTTCTAATTTAAAAAATCTTAGCAAAGTAGGAATAGAATTGTACTTTCTCAGCCTGAAATAGGGCATCTATGAGAAACCTGCAGTTAACCTAGAGTTATTGGTGAAAGACTGAATGCTCTCTCCCTAAGCTCAGACACAAAACAAAGAGATTCATTCTAATGTTTCTATTTAACATTGTACTGGATGTTTCAGTCAGTGCAATCAATTAAGAAGAAGAAATAAATGTCAACCAAATCAGAAAGGAAGAAGTAAACCTGCCTTTACCCACGGATGGTATATATCTATTATCATCTGTGGAGAAGATCTGATGGAATATGCAGGAAAAATCTCCTAGAATAAATACATTTAACAAGGTGGTAGGACACAAGAACACTATACCAAAATTACATTTCTATATATTAGCAATGGATAATCAAATTGAAATTAAAATATAATACTCTGTACAACAGCTTCAAAAATATGAAATAGGAATAAATCTGCCAAAAAAGGAATGTGACTTCTATAATTAAAACTACAAAAGAGCTGAGAGAAAGGGGAACTAAATATGTACCAGGTGCCTGGTTGTAAGCCTCAATATTGTTAAAATGTCAATTCTCCCTAAATTGATGTATACGTATAAAGCCTTCCCAATCTAAGTCCCTGCATGGTTTTTGTTGTTTGTTGTTTTTCGTTTTTGTAGAAATTGCCAAACTGTTTCTAAAATTCATATGCAAATGTAAAGAAACTGGAGGACCCAAAATGACTTTGTGAAAGAAGAATGAAATTAGAGAAC